AAACATATATATATATATACATATATATATACATATATATATATATATATATACATATATATATATACATATATATATATATATACATATATATATATATATATATATATAAAACCCAGTTAATTTTACAAATAATTAGCTGAACTTTGATGTGGTAGTAGCTGAGAGTCATCCCCAACACACTGTGGTACTAATAAACTGCATAAGAGATCACACATACCAATATTTAAAAAAAATAATTAACAGCTACAACGCAGTAATTTCTCAAAATAAGATGATTATGTTTTAGCTTTCAGACACTCAAACTTATTGAATTCCACTTGTTTGGTAAGTGATTTTTCACATATTTCATGCTTTGAAGTCTGCTGCATTCACCTCCTAAGAAAATCAATGTATCTGGAGGCAGAGGACCCACTTCGGCTGAAACTCCAATCGTTTCATAACGTCGATAAAAGATGAGCACAAAGTGGGTCAAAACCAGATGCAGAAAACAGATGTTGACTGATGGGTTTCAAACATTCCTCAAAATGATCCGGAAGCAGCTAATGAGCCTCACCAACACCACTTGAATTAAGACGACATCCATCCATCCATCCATCCATTTTCTTTACTAAAAGACAATAGATAAAAAGAAGTAAAGATAATGGATCTATTCACACAAGGAGAGCTGTCGGTCAGGTCTTGTTGTGCCGTTAAATCTAAAATAGTTATAGTTAATAGTTGAGTCAAGTGTTTACTTATGTACTGTAGGTAAAACTAAATGTTAAACAACCCGTTAAAATACAACAGAATGCAGGAAATGGCATCTACTTTATTCAAAATTTTAGACCCCCCCACCCAGCAATGTATCCCCCCTTCATTACAAATGCTTCTGACGCCAATGGCCAACGTGATGCTAAACAAGTACACATGTGGTGTCATATAGTGTTCAAAGTGCGCTCGTCTCAGTCTTGTTGATTTGCGTTAACAAGAGGACATACATGTATTATATACAGCATTTATAGTTATATGAGCATTTGGATATTTGTACATCAAAATATACTTGATAGTTAGAATTTGAAGCATAATTATTGCATATTACGGTAATTTATTCTGTATTTTGCCAGATGGTGGTGATTCTGTGGTTGTGATGGTTGGGCCCTTGTTGCTCAGGGTACAGTGAAGTGTTAATCTGGCCCTGGTCTTTACACGCTTCTTCTTTTCCGGGTCATGTGGGGTCACTGGTGCCCACGTCCACCTGTCACTGTGCGAGAGGCAGGGGACACCCTGGACAGGTCTCCAGTCCATCACAGGGACACATAGAGACAAACAGCCATTCACTCTCTCACTCACACCTAGAGACCAACATCTAAATCAGTTTAACAAGAGATCAGTCGTGCGCTGAATGTTTCACTGAAAAGAGGAGCAGGTCTGGAGGCGAAAAGACTTGGACTGATCCTCAAAAGGATAATAAAAAAAAAACTAGAGGCTTTGTGAGAACTCTTGATCTTTTTCTTTATCTGCCACTTCAGTTGTTCAAAGAACAGAGAGACATTCTCTTAATCAGCGCCCTGTGTGCCCCTTCCTCATATCAAATGAAAGAAAAGATGTCTGACAGACACATGCAAAAGTGCACGGACAAACAAAACATGACAGGTTTACAGTCCACTGGAGACATTGTTGACAATAAAGCAGAGCACTTTGTTTGGTGCTTTACAATTTGTTGTTGTTTGTGTTTTGCTGTGTTTGACCGTCAAAGTCACCACACAGGAATTTAATACTTTTATTTGTACATCATTCTGATGCAGCTAATGTAGCTTCAAGTAAACAGAAGCATTGAGGTTGAAACAAATAAACAAATAAAATTAAAAAGTAAAACATTAAAACTGCATGTCCACAATAATTCCTTGGCTTTAAACAATGTCTGTGAGCAAGTAAACAATGTTAAATAAAATTCACCTGATATTTTTACACCTTACAGATTTTATAAAACCCTAATGCCGTGTTTTTCACACTTCAGATGAGAACTTAACACAGATGTTGTGTTATTACCAGCACAAATTCAGCTATAATATATTTATGGACCAGAAAAAGTGTGTTTTTAAGTTTCAAATCAGCTGCTCACCTGTGAAGCTGATCCAGCTGAACATCAGCTGATTCATAAATTGGTTGGTTTCATACATTTTCAGCAGATTACTGTTTCTTTAAATAATTTCTAACAAAAGAAATTAAGACAACAAGCTGTAACAAACATCCTCACACATGAAACATCTTCACACCTGTATAAAACATCTTCACACCTGTATAAAACATCTTCACACCTATAACAAACATACACACACCTGTACTAAATATTCTCTTACTTGTAATAAACATATTAACACCTGTGTCAAAACATCTACACATTTGTAGTAAACATCCACACACCTGTAATGAACACCATACACCTGTAATTAACATTCCCACACCTGTAATTAACATCCACACATTGGTAATTAACATCCACATGTCTGTAATGAACATCCACACACCTGTAATTAACATCCCACGCCTGTAATTAACACAACACAACTGTAACAGACAGCCACACACATGGATTAAACATCCAAACACCTATAATTAACATCCACACACCAGTTATTAACATTCACACACCTGTAATTAACATCCACACACCTGTAA